TTCACACAAAATTCACATCCAAATGCTGAACAATTATCCCTACACTTCCAAAACAAAGGAGAACAAAAAATCTACTCACTAAGCATGCCATATTTCATTAACACCAACATGTATTAAGAACATATATCATACACAAGAGTTTCCTAATTGTTTCTTAAAGTAGATAAACAAAAACTCGATATACTTATCTCCTTAAGATCCTGAATATGCAGATGGAATTACAGGCACTCTCACAATCTCTCTTAAAATCTTTCTTTAAAACTACTAATTGATCTTTTGTCTTCTCCCTCCGATTTCCTCCCTTTAGAATGGTCGAAAAGTAAGGAAGCAACCCTTCCAAGTTCGTGCTCTTGTTTTTTATACTTCTCCCAGCAAACCGAAGTTTGAACTACTTAAGACTGTCAATTTTCGGGTTCTGGTGCCTAGGCGCTGCTCACTTAGTTTTTAAAACATATAATCTGGCGCCTAGACGCCACTATCGCGGTGTCTGAGCACTGGTGTGTAGCGCCTAGACGCTGCTTAGGCCGCGCCTGCTTTATGTGCTTTTAGGATTTTGGACAATTTCTGGCTTGTTTGGGTGCCTAAGCGCCGCTGACCCTGCTCTTAGGCGCCATACCACAACTTTCTCTAATTCGATCATTTTGAGTCCTATTCGACCCCCATTTTACTGCAACCTGCAAAACAACACAAAAAAATTTCCTCAAAGCGTAATATAATCATGCAAAACACAAACAATTAAAAACATTTTATACAAAATATTAAAACACATCACTTAACTATATATATATATATATATATATAACAAATGATAGTGAAGTGTGGGGGAGCTAGTCTCTCTTTTTCTAAAATTTTGCAAAGATAAAAAAATAAAAAGCATATAGAATTAATATTGATATTGTGTTATACTGTTGCCTTGTATAAGGGCAATTTTTTCTTTTATGTGTCTAAGGGCAATTGAGTTATTTACTATTTATTATTGTTTGTTATAAATTGACACTAGTAGGCCGAGGGTTGGGGGTATGCATGAGATTATTGTTGCGTCTTAGGTTTAGGGTTTGGGAGAGCCTTCCTACCTCTCAAATTGTAGGAATTGAGAGAGATTGCGTACCTCGTGAATTGTAGTGCTTATCTTTTGTATTTATGTAAGTTGATTGTGTTGTAGTGTTTTGATTTGACATATTGAAGAGAAATATTTGTTTGCCCTTATTTCTCTGGAAAATCATGCCAATTTTTACGTCAGATCATATCAAATTGGTATCAGAGCTTTTGATTTTTGGGAAATCAACAACTATATCGTTGCATAGAGCAGTTACGTCACATTCATGACCAAAACTCTCGATACAGTTGATCACGATCTAGCTCGGAAACAAGCAACGAGATCACAGAACAGAATGACGCACTACAATCGTGATTGTTGGATCGCGACTCTCTTGCGTGACCAAAGAGTGATATAGTCACGATTGGAGCTAGTTTCCTATTGCCTTTGTGACCAAACCATGCGATACAGTCACAATCAAAGCTAGTTGAGAAGGCGACGAGATCATATAGGTGCCATGTCTTCGTGAATGAAGCCTTATGATATGATCGTTGTTCGAGCTATCTGGAAAGCAGAAGGAATTGTAACGTATGGTGATCTCCAACGTGATCGTTGTCTTACCAGCGTGATCTATCTTTTGCATGATCGGACCCCACACCTCCGTGTCTGATCGCCTGCGTGGGCGGATGACAACCTACAAATACCAAAAACTTTGATCTTTCAGTAATTCTATATGACCTAAAACTCTGATATTTTAGGAATTCCGTGATTCATCCGCTCGTAATTGAATCTTATGCTCGAGATTGCGGCTTATATGAACTCCTTGTGAGTCATTGGAAGCCTTCATATTGGAAATCATTTTGAGAGATGGAAACAAAGAAGGTAGATAGATGATTTGGAGAAGAAATTGGAGGAAGAGACGAGCTAAATTAAATCCATGATGGAGGAAAGATTCTCCACCACAGAAGGTTTTCCTCCATAGATGATAGATTTTCTTTCATGGAAAATCGATTCGGGCATTTGGAGGAGATGATGAGGAGACTTATCGAGATGTAATCCAAGGCCCCACTAACAAATCAGTTTGCGAACACTAACCATGGGTTAGTTTGAGGTTCATTGCCTAAATTGAAAGGGAATGAGATCATACGAGAGGAACATGAGGAAGAAAATATTCACTGTCAAGAATCCTCTTCCCAAGACTCCGACGCCAGGGGGGGGGGGATATAGGTGATTGTGCCTAAACACGGAGAATGAGTCATGCAACGGGTAGGGAGAAACACGGAGAATAAATAAGAGAATACGGGATGAGATATGACTATGATCAAAGGAGGGAGCTTTACCCTTGATGCATGGGGAAAATAGCGGAGGGAGAGAAAGTTGGGTTGATGATGCTTGGATTAGAAAGTTGAAGATACCAATCTTCGATGAGGAAGACGTAGGTGAATGTATTGGGTGAAGTGATACTTCGCAATATATAGGCTAGATTGCGAGAAGAAACTCATGGCAGCAGCGTTATGTTTGGAGGGGAAAGTCCTAGCCTAGTTTCAATGGATGGAGGTTGGATACTTGGTCTGTTTGTGAGAGGAATTTAAGGATTCTTTGTTGGAACCTTTCTGGCCATTTAAGAATGAGACATACACGAGCAATTCTATGCATTGACTAGGGATGAAAGTGTCATGGGATATAAGAATAGATTTGAGCTATTGTCAGGACAGCTCGGGAGGGTTTTTGAAGCAGGATTGGAGGGGGAGACTTCATGAGGACCTATGAGCCCAACATACGGGCAACAAATAGACTATTGAAACTGCGAGGAATGAGGGAGATGATGGAGCTAGCCCAGATGATAGAAAACAAAAACCAGATGAAAAAGACAAATGAAAACAATACAATGAGAGCATTCCACAAGAGTACCAAGGCCACCATGACACCAAGGACCTAGATGGTGTCATTTCATAAGTAGACGCCGAAGGAGAAGAATACGGGGGCTCATTCCTAGGGCAACTTAAAGTGCCTCGCAAAGGTAGAGGTGCAGGACAAGTTAAGTTCATGTTTTCTATGTGATGAGAAGTATGCCTTAGGCAATCGGTACAAGGATCGCACGCTCTCGATTCTTTTAGTTTATGAGGGGGGATGAGACGAATAGTGAGGAATCGAAGGAAGAGGCGGTGGATGAACACTTTCATTTTTTTTCCACCTTGAGGACTGTGTTCTTTGGGAAGGGAGTATTGTTACGCCGATGCCTAGCCTAAGGGAAGTTTTATCTTCTATGCGCCTAAATGTGTCTTTTATTTTTTAGTATTGTTTCTTATAAATAGACCCTACTAGGCTGACAGTTGGGCATATGCATGAGATTATTATTGTGAGTCTTTGGCTTTAGGGTTTGGGAGTGACTTGCTACTTCTCAAATTGTAGGAATTGGGAGTGATCACTTACCTTTCGAATTGTAGATATATATCTTTCGGTTTTGTGTAAATTGATTGTGATGTAGTTTTCTGATTTGATGTTATCGAGGACAAATATTGATTTGCCCTAATTTTTCTGAATATATCGTGCTGATTTATGCCTCATATTGTATCAGAGTGCTTCATGTTTAATTGCTTGGATTGCTTTGATACGAATCCATAATGTTTTTCATGTACGAGTCTCTAGATCCTGTATACCAAGTCACTAATATTTTCAAGGTATGTCTGCTATAATCAAAACATCATTAAGCTTTGAGGCTCATGGAAGTCTTCTGGAAATAATGCAATTTCTACTCTAAGAGATAAAACCACGCTTTCCTACTAAAATTGTGGGACCACACATATTAGTGTGAATTTTCTTTGGTGGCTTCATTTCATTTTATGATGCCTCTTACAACATGCTTCTCCTAAGTTGCTGACAAGGAACATATTCTTTGCAAAGTCACATAAAAAAATCGATGTGATGAAACCATTTACTATTTGCTTGTTTGATAATTTTTTATACCATCTGAATGAAGGTGTCTAAATCTCAAATGATGATTACGAAATCTTTGAAACAAGCTTTAAGCATTCGACATCAATAAGAGCAGTCAACTATTTTTCATATCAACACGAATAAAAAAAGTATTATTTTGATCGTTCTAGCAGGGACTTCTCTCCTTGAAATGAATTCTATAATATTTTTAAAAAAATTGGCCAAAATATATTTCTTATTATGCTTAGACTTTACCAACATTGGAAGTAAATCATGGCTTATATCTTTCAATTGGATGATAATTTTACTCTCACGCTTTGCCTACACTTTGATGAATCAACCAAAAACAAAAATGTCCATCTATGAGGTTGTTTAGTTCCATTAATCTTGTTCTTGTGCCCAAATACAATGTGGATTGCTTATATCTTCTCATTCGCTTGCCAAGAAGAGAATATAATATCTTATTTCTTGCTTTTCTTTTCCACTTAATTAAAAAAAGTATGATGGCTATATCCCCTGCCAATGTTTGCTGGGATAAAAAAATTGTTTCATGTGAAAAATCTGATATCTACAGGATTAATTTTTTATGTTACAGTACTCAAATGTAAGATCTATGTCACTTGATGTTGATCTACATCCTAAGAACAACTTGGTGACCTAGATTGATTTCATTTTTTTTTTATCATGAGTTACTGTTTCTTAAATGAAGAAATAGATGATTTGGAATATGTCACACTAAAAGTATTATCCTAACCAATTTCATTAAAATTTTAGATGTATTTTTATACATGCTTAACATTTTTCATTTAATTTACGTGCTTCCACACCGTAAAATCAATGAGAAATCTATTTCATTATGTCGAACACCCATGAGGATGTTATTGTTTTTATACATCATTATGAAACTTTGTAAAATACACCATCATACTATTTATTATCATCAAGTATAACATGCATAGTCTTCATTTACGAAATCTATGTTATATGATTGAAAAGTATGACAATAATATATCACTCTTCTCTGCAGGTGATTTCTTTATCAGAGATGCTGCGAGAGAAGGAGCTGCTTGTAGCGTCAAAGAAGCCATGTTCAGATATAAAAAATGAAGCCATCGAGCCGCAGCTTTCACCACCATCAATGCAAATCCTAGCCATCCTATCGCAGGGCGGCGGTGATGGGCTGAGTACCGGGAGCACAGTGGTGGATGGTGAGGGGGTGGTGGCATTGCAGGTGGCTGATAGCAGCGGCGATTCTTACTTCCAAGAGAGCTTGATTGAAAGCGGTGCAGGTGGCTGCATCGAACAAGTACATTGCGGGGTTGGATCTGAGGAGGATGGCTGCACGAGCGATGATGGCTGCAGCTATCTCCCTGGCAACATATTCCACAACCAAACCAATGCTGATAACTGGTGGGTTTGGTCTTGAATTATAAAGCAGCCAGGTAGTCCTCCCATCATCTATCTTCACTGCCAAAATTTTACCATTCTCTGCACTAATTTAATCAGCAGCTACTGCAGCTACATACCAATCTCTAGAGATTTTCTTAGTATGGTTCTTGTCTGCAATAAATTTGCCTTGAGGGGAAGGCTGGCTTAACCATGGTATGCAGTATTGTTCATACTACTGTACTGTTATTGGGTTGTATGGAACTGAAGAAGACTTTATATGATATTGAATGTTTCTCTGATTGCCTTGTTACATATATATGGATCAACATCAATAAAAAAATACAAAAAAAAAAAAAAAAAAAAAAAAAATCATTTTAACCTTTGCTCTTAAATTAATTTATAATATATGGCTGTGGTTTTTTCTCAAGTCAAAATCATAAAAATAATTTAAATTATCCTTTTTTATTATTTTTATTTTTATTTTTAGCATTTTATATTTCTTCTATATTAAAATTTTACAATGCTTTATAAAAATTTAGTTTAAAAATCTTTAGATTCTTGCAAGGCATTATAATTTTATGGAGATCCATAAATACTTCATTAATATCTCCAAGATTTAGTAGAAGGCTATTGCAAATATTTTATATTAATATATTATTTAATGAAATTTAAATCATAATAATCAGTTTCTCTATTTACTAAACTATTTGTGATATTCTAAATAAAATTATATATAAAAAAAAAGACTTTGACTCAATAAAATTATTTGCAAGGTATTAATTTGGATAAAACTTAAAGTTTCATTCATTTAATGATTAATTAAACTTATAGTTATTTGTATATCATATCTTTAATATTTTATGGGGGTTGATCTTTATGCATGAAATACACACAATTTTATTGTACTAAGCCATGAATCTTTATGTGAGTTGTCTTGTGGCCTATTTCTTAAAATAACTCAGCTTAAGAAACAAACATCAATAATTTTTTTTAGTATAATTTATGATCATCAAAATTATAACATAATGGTCCTATGGGAATTACAATTGGGTCTTATTATACATAAGCCTTCTTTGCTTTAATGACATTAGCCAAGCTCTCTCTCTCTCTTTTGCTTCATTATGGACTCCATGTAAATTGTGGCAAATATTTGAAGCCCATGAGGCCTCTTTACTAAGGTTTCTATTGGCGACTCAATGGTTTCTTATCTCTTATATGCTAATGATTTTCTTATTTTCGCAGCAGTGTTTTAACATTTACTGATGGGTTTTAACCATCGATAATAGGTTGAATTCATGTAGTACATGTTGATCCTAACAATCTAAGTTTTTTATTTTAATCATGATTATATTCTTATCATGTTTTGTAGGTGTTGTGATCAATGCATATTAAAGCATCATATATTCATCTAAAGTCACTACCATTGTATTTTCTCCCAATGTCATGCTTCACTATAAAAATAGTCGCATTTCAATTGCATATGCATCCTTATGTTTAGCTTGAAGCCACCATGCTTTGTTTTTTTTATAGCCTTAACAACAAAATTAGGAGGCTTCTTAAAGATTGTAACATAATTTACCAACATGTAAGTTTAACAAATTTTATATTTGGAATTTATTGTAAATTTTGTGGTATTTTTTCCCTAAGATCATCATTAAGATGATTGAAAGTTTAAAATCTAAGCTCATATATGATGGGAATTTATACTAAAAAAAAGATTTTTATCTTATAACTTGGGAGAATAAGTATATTTTCAAACTAAATCAAAAGTGGACTTAAGAGTTTATCATTACATATTTAACATATGGCTTATAAAAAAGTTGTTTTTGTAAACTAATTACACAAGAATGATTTTCTTATATATTTTTCTTATCGATCAATGTGGAAACAAAGAACAATATTTGAAAATAATATTCCTTTTTCTTTGAGAAAAAATGCATATTTGACTTTAGTAATTAACTATTTTATAACTTTTGTTCTTTAATTTATTGCTATAGTTTTTTATTTGCACCTATTGATTATATTTTCAAAGTTTTCTTTTGATTTTATGATTGCACAAGATTATTTATGACTCATTATATATATATTTTTAATTTAATTTTTTTCTTAATGAGATGACTTAGTACTTAATTCATTATGTCATATGGTGACTTTGGCTTTATTTATATATATATATGTTTTTAAATTATTTTGAGGGTTTCTTATTAGAATCTAGCTATAATTTTTTTTAGTAATATGATTGTTCATGTTGGTATTATTTTTTATGTCCACCACAAAAATTTTTGAATATTTAATTAATTTTAATACTCAAATATGACATCAAAAGTACATATGCTAAGTGAAAAGTAATTATGAAGTACATATGCTCTAATTATTTAGATATTGGTTTATAAAACTTAGAAAAGTAGACTTTAGTGAGAGAATATGAAAATCCCCTAATTTAAATTTAAAACTTTATAAGCTTGAATGAAGCATTCTTAACGCAATTAGGGAAGAATCAAAATTCTAACTGAAAAGTTGGATGGTGAATCAAATTAATGAAGAATCAAAATTTGTACGGCGTGTTGTATGCACTTTTTAAACATATCTTTAAACCTCTCCCAAGCTTTGTAAATGAATTTACCTTCCAAGTGACTGAAAGATGTGATATAATTCCTAAGGTTGACAATTCTTGAAGGTGGAAAATATTTTGCAAGAATTTTTTAGCAAGGTCAATGTTCACGTAAATTTTTGATGTCGCGAGTGTAGGATGTTTACTAGAGCAATATGAAACATTATTTGATGCATGTGATGAGTCACGTAGTGCAAGACATTCATTTAGGACCCTCCGATGTATGTTGAGGGGCACGTTGTTAGGGTCGTTCTGTTAGGCTTCAGTTTTTGCATAGGCGAAGATCGGTAGGCTTTTTGTCTGTCGAACGGCTTCAAGCGGACCAGCGGACCCCATTCGCCACGTCACCCACAAATCTTGTTTGAATTGGTTTGTTTGTCAATGAATTTATTCAAATGATCCCAAATGATAAAATAGACTGTGTGAACTTGTCCGGAATGTTGATTTTATCTAGGAAGAACACCAATTTTGCTATTAGTTTGTGCATGAGCTAGCAACACACAAATTGAGGCTTTAAAATAATAATAATATATATATATATATATATATATATATATATATATATATAAAATATAAGAGATATGACGTTGTGGGTCTGATCGCCCGTTAAGAATCACGTGCGTGGTTAAATCCTATACAGAGCTAGCGATTTCCCTTTGTGAGCCCTAGACCTAAATTCTAGTGGGTTGGAATCTTAATTTTCTCTTATTTTGGCTTTCTCCAATCTCCCTTGGAAAGGTTGGAATATTTGGATTTTACAAATTATGAAAAGCTTTTTAGCTAGCTCCCATTGTAAAATCATGTCGAGTTATGAAATGAGAAAAAACTTTATAGCTAATCCATTCTACAATATTGTGCAGAGTCTCCTATCAGGGAGATCCGAAACTGAAGCTCCCCACATACCTCACCAAAGTAGGAAACAGCTATGACACACATCCATGTGCTAAAACCCTAGGTACCCAAGCAAGAACATTAGCATGAGCCATCTTGTCATCGAGCATTATCGTTTGTTTTGAATTGTGTCATGTGTGTTTTTCTTGAAGCATGTTGCAATTGCACATTGCCTCGACTGGTCTCGTCAGTCTAGTCGCCTGACCACTTTGGTCAGACCGGCTATTCCAGTCGTGGCGACCAACCACTTGAGTCCGATCGACCGCTCCTGCCCAGTCGACCGATTACTTTAGTTCGACCGACCACTTGGGTTTGAACGACTAACCTGATCTGATCGATCAACCACGTTGGTCTAGCTTGCTGCTCCGACCCAGTCAACCGATCACTTGCATGGTGTATCTTTTACATGTGCATGTGTCTGCACTACACCTCATATGTGCTTGTCAATTGCATGTGTGTCTAGTCTTTATTGGGGCAATGTATAATTCTACTTAGTGGCATCCTATATCCTGGGAGACCGAACACAATACCTCCAGCTATATGTCTTGCATGACATTTTGCATGATCATTATGATTTGCTTGAGATGCATTTTGAGTGTTCATTCATATACTCACCCCACTTGTATGATTTCCCCAGTGAGGATCATTATTCTTTTGGGGCGCTGTCTCCACGACGCATTCACCTTTTCGAGTCACTGTCTCCACGACATACCCATTCCTTTGGGTCACAACCTCCACGACTCGTCCACCCTTTCGGGACACTGCCTCCACGCTCACCCATCATTTGGGCCGCTGCCTTCATGACATGCTCACCCTTTTCGGGTCACTACCTCCACGACACATCCATTCTTTTGAATCGCTGCCTCGATGGAACACCCACCCTTTTTGGGTCATTGCCTCCTCTACGACACACCCATTCCTTCAGTTTGCTGCCTCAACGATACTCCCATCCATCGGGCTACTGCCCACATGTCTACCATTTAGGGTCACTGACTCCATGACACTCTCATCCGTCAGGTCGTTGCCTCCACGTCACACCCATCCTTCAAGGTACTTACCTCCACCACACACCCATCTTCGAGTCACTATCCCACGACACAAATACACTTCCGGGTCACAACCTTCACGACACACCCATCTATCGGGCTGCTGGTTCCACAACACGCCCAACCTTTCGGGTAACAACCACCACAACACACCTATCTGTCGGGTCACTACCTTCATGACACACCCACCCTTTTGGGTTACTGTCTCCATGAAAAACCTTCTTTGAATCATTGCCTCCACAACACAACCGCTTTTCCGGTTGACTGGTTCTACGACTTACCTATCCGTCGGGCCACTGTTTCCATGACACACCGACACTTTCGGGTCACTATCTCTACGGTGCACTCTTCCGTTGGGTCATTGCCTCCATGACACGCCCTTTCTTCAGGTCATTGCCTCCACGATATGTCTACCCTTTCGAGTTACTGCTTACACGACACACCCATATGTCAGACTGCTACCTCCATGGTATTCTCACCATTTTGGGACCCTGTCTTCATGACACACCTGTCTTTAGGGCCGCTGTCTCTATGCCACCCCTAACCTTCGGTTCACTACCTTCACGGCACACCCATTGATCGGGCCGCTGCCTTCATTACACATCCACCTTTATGAGTCACTGCCTCAACGACACACTTACTCTCACCACTTGTGTATGATTGTTTGCATTTGCATTTGCATTTGCATGCGTGCATGGATAGCGAGCCAGACTGGATAGGCGAGTGGACCCCGTGTTGATCGCGTTGCCTTAATGAGCATTGCTCTTCGGGTCAACCCTGACGAGCAATGCAAGTTAAAGCATCGAAATTGACATGAGTATAACTGTGCTAAGAATCCAAGGGATATAACTCGTGTCACTTTACATATATGGGCTCGCAGTATTCAAAGCCACTTGGTAGTTCACAATGGCCTCCGATTTTTGTTGATCGGGTGACCGATTTATCTCCTCGCTTCATAGTAACGCATAAAAGTCTTCCAAAGCAATTGGCTGTAGTTGAGTGCGTATAACCGTCTTAAAAGCATGATAGTTGGTTGGTAGACCATTTAAGGTGTAGAGGATGATATCCTCATCATCTAAGTGACCACCTGTCGTCAATATATTGTCTACCAAGTTTTTGATGGCTGAGACATATTGATTCATGGATTGATTGATCATAAAAACGTTATGAAGCTCATTTTTCGACTGAACGGGTCTTGATCTATATGCTGGTTGGAGAGGTATTCCATACTTCAGCAATGGTTGAGAGATGAAGCGCACATTGGGCAAAATTGAAGGTGAGACTATTCAGAACAATGCAGTGGTTAGATTTTGATCAATTAGAATCCAGCTCGTATAATGGGGATTTGGTGTTGGAATATCATCTGTGGAGGGAAGGAATTTTGGTGGACAAGAAATGGCAACTTGTAAGAAGCCATCAAAACCATTTGCTGTGAATGCTTTGAGAATTTGTGCTCTCCATATAGGATAGTTATCAGCAGAAAGAGGGCTTTGACTGAAGTTCTTAGGTTGCTTAGCAGAAATTTCAGAGAGGGAGGTATAACAGTAGAAGCTGACAACATAGTAGAAGCTAATTAGTAGAAGCTAATTATATAGTTGCTCTCAGTTAGTAACAACATAGTAGAAGCTAATTATATAGTTGCTCTCAGTTAGTTATAAAGCATGTGCCCTCATCCACATTAATGGCAGACATAATCTGGAGAGGCCAAGACATATTTTCATATCAATACAGTCTCATGACAAGTTTTCCTACATCAACAACCATGCCATGCTAGTTATCCAACATAGGTGGTGTTTGGCTACAGCTGAAAAAAGGAAATGTCAAAAGAGAAAGTGGGGAGAAGAGAAAATTGAATTTACTATACATGCAACACTGCTCTCACTGAAGATCGGATCACAGCTCTTACAAAAACTAAGCTGAGATCACACACAAACATCTGCTAAACCTCATGAAAATGAGAATATGTGCATAAACTAAGTTACCTTCTAATATGAATTAAAGAATATTACTACTTCAGCATTTACTGCTCACCAGATTCAGAGCAAGCAATAATCATAGAACATGGACGACAGAATCATGAACCCCCAAGACCGGAGAGTATCTCTGGTCATTAAACTGATGTATGTAGTTCAGCAGCCTCGCCTTCTTGCTTCCTTGTCTGGAACCATCTGATAGCAGAGAGTACAGCGATGGCATCAGCAATGGCATCTTCTCCAACAAGCTCACTGCTTTATCTCCACCATTTTTGCATACAGAGAGCAATGCGGAGACGCAGTACTCTTTTCCCAGAAGAAGAGTTCGAGCTCCGCAGCAGATGAACAAGATGACCCAAAACGCAGGTCTTGAGAATCTCATTGGTCCCATCTGGTCTTTCTGCAATCTTAGCTAGAACACCAACGCAGTCTGTCACGAGATCTTCTTCATCTTCTTCGAGAAGTTTAGCGATCACCGCCACCGTATCCGCCGCCAAAATCTTAGCTTGATTGCCGGAAAACAAGAGCAGCCCATAGATGGTGACGATTGCATTCTTCTTTCCTCTGTATGTTCCATTTTTTAGCAGCTCCACGAGAGCAGGAAAGGCTTGGGGTAGTTCTGCGATTGCCTGCACACCTCCATTGCAGAGAGGTAGAAGAGAATGGCGGCAGCGTTCTTCTGGGCCTCAATTTTGTGCCCAAACTTCATGATTTGGACCACCAGCGAGATACCTCCGGCATCGAAGATGTCGGTCCGGCCACTGTGGTGTTTTGAGAGATTCAGCAGAGCTGCAGTTGCGTTGTCTTGCAGTGAAGGATCGGATAGTGAAGACAGAACACAGAGTAGCCATCTTACAGCCCCAGCCTCCACTAAGCAGATTCTGTTAAAAATATTTGATTTTGAGAGCACCCTTATCTCGTAAGCAGCCATGTTCTTCTTCTCCGCCTCTCCGACGGCCAATTTACCGATGAGTACAGTGGCAGGCAATTTAAAGGAGCCCCACCGCGGACTCCCCAGCAATTCTATTGCCTCCCACCGCCGCAGGAGAAGCAGGGGTGAGTGTCTTTGATAAATCCCTCTTCAGCAGCTTACCCTGTTGAGGAATCAGAATGCCATTTTCATGGCAGTAAAGGTTGATCAGCTGTCGAACGGTTGAGTTGGGGATGAGGTCTGAGCTGGCGAGCATCTCCCCGGTTACGGGGCAAGTCTGGTTGCCGGACTTCAGCCACCGGAGAATAGAAGACCTGTCGTAAGTCTGACCAGTAGAAACCGTCACCGGATCCTTCATCAGCTCAAGAGATATCGGACAACGGAGATCATCGGCGTTCAGTTTCTCAACGTTGACCGTTGATTCTTTCAGACGGAAACACTCCTCCATCTTCTTCCTCTTGCCATTCGGCGTTGTATCAAACAGCACAACCAGAGCGTATACCATGAGCCCCATCGAGCTCCAGAGCAGAGAAGCTTCCCCATTTCCTTCCTCCGCAAAAATTTCCTGTTCCAAAAACGCAACTTCCGCGAAGCAATCGATCCAAGATGTGATTTTTAGGTGGTTCAAAACTCGCCGAAGATCATTGGGATCAGGGGACTCGCCGGACTGAAACTGCGTCAGCATAGAACGCACCGACCACCCTGCTCGCTCATCTACCAACTCAACATCGATCTCCACGCTTCTTGCCTGTCTGACGAGAAGGCGCACGAAGTCCTTGATTTCAGCCGACAGGTCCACAGAATCAAGCGGAATGAATTCCAGCGCGATGGCCGCGGAGCGTAGAAGAAAACGGAACTCGCCGGCAATGAGATTGGCGTTAAGAAGGATCCAGAGCCGGGCGCCGTCGCGAGAACAGTCGGCGAGGAGAAGACGGAGCTTTTGGAGCGTGACGTGGAGGTCGGAGAGACCGAGCACGGCGGAGCGAGGGAGGAAGGTGGAGAATGGACGGAGGTCGTCGAGGAAGGCGATGAGTATAGTGGTGTAGCGGAAGGTTTTGCGAGCAGCGCGGCGGTGGGTGGGGAAGTTGTCGGTTTGGCGGCGGCTGAAGGAGTCTATGTCGGCGGCGAGGGAGGAGAGGTC